GGGCATTTTAGAGTACTTATTCTTGTTGTCTTTTTCTTAGGCCTCGGGACTTAAAAAAGCAAATGCCCTGGGAAAAGAAAAGACAATTAGAAACTCTAGGAAAAGTGAAAAGCTATACAGAAAATATAATAATTTTGAAGTCAGTAAAAAAGTAGGGATTGGGGATGAGAGGGTGAGTTTTTTTACCTTTTAGGGTTTTGCTTTTTGAGCAGTAACACCATATCCTGTACCTGAGCAGGGCTTGCAGGCTGCCTACCCAATACTGAGGGGCCCAATTCTTTCCCTTCAGTTGTTCATGAAGTTAAAAACACTTTTCTAGCTGAATGCAGTGGCACACAACTGTAATCTCAGTACTGGGGAGGCTAAGGCAGGAGGATGTCAAGTTCAAGGCCAGCCTGCACTACACAGTGAGAGCCTGTCTTAAAACAAAACACACACACACACACACACACACACACACACACACACATACATCCCACTCTTTTCTCAATATTGTGCTCCAAATACTAAACCCTTCCTTTCCCACTTATGTTTCTTCTTCTTTCTTTACCTTTTGCTTTACCACCCCTTACCGTCAAACCAGCAGAGGTTCAAAAGATGTCAGTGAATTACGGCTGAATAGTATAGTGGGAAAGAGAATGAACTGAGTAGTTGCTCAAGTAGAATCTCTCTGACCCTCTGAGCTAATGAAATAACATCTACTCTGCACAGTTCTTTCAAGGATTCTCTGAGGTATGTGTGTAACTGATTAAGGCTCATGCCTGTAGATGTGGTCGGTGCTCTGAAGATGGTAAAGGTCTATTTTTTTTTTAAAGAGAACCTTTTGTTAAAGAGAACCCTTAAAAGTGAAGGAGAAATGTCAAGAATGTAGTTTTGAGTTGGATGGGAGTCACCTTTGATTCTCCAGAAATTAGGGGACAATGACAGCTGATAAAAGCTAATATTTAAGCAAACACAAGGCATCAGAGAGTCTTGCAAGTACTTTATGTGAGTCTAGTCATTGAATCTTTACACTGTCACTAAGAGATAAGCACTGCTGTGATGCCCATTTTACAAATGACAAAACTGAGGCTCAGAAGCGAAGGAACTGGCTGAGGATACACAGTCAGAGGCAGACCTGGGATTCAAGCCTAGGTGGCCCAGCTCCAGAGTCCCCGCTCATGGTCACCGGAAGTACCTGTCAACCGGCACCTGTGGGCTGAGCTCGCCTGTGCCACTGAAGCCATCCTCACAGCACTGCCAGAGCCCAGTGTGGAACCTTTGCCAGATTAACTTGTCCTCCCCAGTCTCCCCAATGTACAGGGCAGCCTGGCTCTTACCACCCTGACGCTGACCGCTGCCACTGGCCACTGGCCCAGCTCAGGTGAATGCAGTCCGGCCCTGCCAGCGAGTCCCAGAACAGAGGCTCGGTGTGTGCTGCGTGCCCTCACAGCAGTGGCTGCTGCTTGGGCCAGTGAGTGAGATGGGGAGGAGCAGGCAGGTGGGGAGAAGGGTCAGCCTCGGGCGCCTGGCCCTGCCCGTGGCTGAATGAGGTGCTCAGCAGCAGGAGGAGCTGTGGAGCTGCTCCTCCCCGCTCATCACTTCCGCCCCTCAGCCCTGCCATCTGCCATCCTGCCTTAGACTCCTCACACCCCAGTGCCAGTGTCCACGCCAACACAGGGGCCTGAGATGGGAAGAGCCACAAGGCCAGGCACGTTCCTGGCCGCAGTGTTGGCCTTTCAGTCCTCCCCAGGTTGGAGTCCATGCAGGGCACTGATTTATTCTTTAAATTTGTGGTAAAATATATATAACATACAACTGGCCTATTTTAGCTATTTTCAAGTGTCCAGTCCGGTTCCATCCCCTGAGTATGTCCATGTCGCTGTACAGCCATCACCACCTTTCATCTCCAGAACTCTTTTTTTCCTTGTAAAACTGACACTCTGTCCCCATTAGACAACAAACCTTCAACCCCTGGCAACCTCCACTTTCTGTCTCTCTAAATTTAATTATTATAGAGACTTCACAGAAGCGAAATCGCATAGCAGTGGTCTTTTTGTGTCTGGCTTATTTCATGCAGCATCATGCCCTCAAATTTCACCATCAGCTAGCGTGTTGCACACACTCTCCTGAAGGCAGAACAATATTCCATTATGTTTATTGTATCACATTTTGTTTATCCATTTTTCTATCTATGGGCACTTGGGTTGCTTCCACTGTTTGGATAGCGTGGAATGCTTTGAGATGTTTTTTCCTCTTGTGTATATGCTGTTGTGGTTCCCACATATCAGGCAAGCACTCCACCCCTGAGCTACCTCCTTAGACCTTTTTATCTTTTATTTTGAGGCATGGTCTCACTAAGTTGCCCAGGCTAGGCTCAAACTTGAAATCCTCCTGCCTTGACTAAAGGCCCGAGACTGTTCATGTGCCTGTCAGCCCCATCCCTCCCTTTGGTGTTGACCAGGGGTTTCAGCGGTGGATTCTAAAAATAAGGAATCCTGAGGACTCCTTAGGCCCAGACCTACAGAGGAAGAGACCACAGAGGATGGCTGCCTGTTCCAGGGACTCTGAGAGATGCAGGGTCCCTCACGGTTATGTGTTCTGCACATGTGGGAGAGTGATATGGACTCTGCTTGGGTGCAGAGTTCAGCACCATCCTGGGACCTCAAAAACCGGCAGGCAGAGCCCTCTACACCTTCACTCATGCCCTCCCCAAAGGGGCCACTGACAGGAGCAGTGATGTAGGTGGTGCTAAGGAGCTCTTTGGATATATGGGAGGGTAGGACTGGGCACTGCCCCTTCAAGGCTGCCTCAGGGGTGATGTTTCATTCATATTGCCTTTAACTTAGTCCACAGACATTTTTAAAAAGCTAGGAGGCTGAGAAAAGAAAAGGCAATTAGAAACTCCAGGAAAAGCAAAAAAAAAAAAAAAAGAAAAAAGCAAAAAGAAAAACTATTCAAGAAGTTAATAAGCCTAAGGTCTGGAAATAATGGAGTGAGGGCAGAAAAAAGCAAAGAAAAACTATTCAAGAAGTTAATAAGCCTAAGGTCTGGAAATAATGGAGTGAGGGCAGAAAAGTCTGCATCACATCTGAAACACACAAGTTCTTGATTTCCTGTTAGCTCCTGAAGACCCCCAGATATAATTGAGGACCTCTCTGCCTGCCAGGGAGGAGAAGAGAGCAGTGACCTGACAGCTTTCCTGTTGGGGAAACCTGAGGACTTGTGCTCCATGCTTTTTGCAGCCTTACAAACTGGTACATTTTTGTTGTGGTTGGCTGCTGTCCCAGGGAAATCAGTTTTACCACGGCTTATCACGAGATGGCATTCATCCATCCAACAAGTGGGAAATTCATGAGTGGACCCAGCCTCTGTCCCTTCAGAAAACACGTTTGGTTTTTTTGTCTTTTTTTTGAGAAAAAGTTCGAAGAAAGGTGATAGAATATTCAGCCAGAGCAGGCATTTTTCTTACCAGCTCGAAACATGGAGAATTACCTTTGATATGCAGTTATAGAATCATTTTACAGCCAGCTCGAGCAGACTGGAGCCATCACTGCCTTCCTCCTTGTCACTGCTCTCTGTGGCACCAAAGCTGTGACCACATTGATTTCAGAGGTCATATCATCATAAAAGCCTATTTCGGAGCTCTTTGTTCAGCATGAGCATTTTACTGCCAAGGTTTAAAAATCTTACCGTGTGGGATTTTGGAGATTTCTTAGGGATTTCTATTAAGTAGTGCTCACCTGTTGTTTCCCAACTATTATGAATTCATTTCATAAGATAAGCTCACAAGATGAGCTATGGTTTGACTTAACTGGAAAAAAAGAGGGAAAAGGGAAGAAGAGGAGGAAAGAATAAAAGAAGAGAGAGGAGGAGGAACTCTGGAAGCACGTCGTTCCTGACTCATTGTTGGGCTTTATCCCAGCAGAATGCCATCCAGTGCCTCCAGTTTGGAAGGCTGGAAAAGGATGCTGAAAGCTGGCCAGGGAGAGGTGGGGGAGAGCAGAGCCTTTTAGGGACAAGGGATGAGGCTCCTAGATAATAGGAGCTATGCGGAGGAAACTGCACCTTCTCAAAGAGCAGTGCTCAGTGACTGTTCAGAAGGTCTAGCTATCTGGGCCCTGCCATTTACTTGCTGCGTGGTCTTTGTGCAAGCAAAATCACCTCTGTGAACCCCAATATTTCTCAGCTATCAAATGGAGAATTCATTGCACCCTCGGAGAGTTCTTGTGTGGATGAATGAAGTGGGATAGTGGATGTAAAGATTTTGCAAATGTGAACTGGGATGAGAAGGGTGGTGGGTGTGTTGGTTATTAACTGATGGGTCATGAATTCCATGAAAGGACCTCCAGGTGGGCTGAGGGACACTGTCTGCCGAACACAATGCTGTGCTCAGCACGAGTGGGCATCGAGAGGGCTGAGTGCTGGCTTTGTCAATGCCTCGTTCTGCTATTGTGCAGAGAGAACCCGAATCTCTGATTGGGTTTTAGGAAATACTGAGTAACTGCCCCTGCTATTTTCTTTGTATAACCAGGGCTCAGAAGTGGCCCTGCCTCTGTGGCTAGTCTCAGCCCATCTTGGACCAACTTCATGCCTAAGAAAGCAATTGCATCCCCTGTCAAAGACTGTTTCCCACCTGGCTCAAGGTTCTGCTCTCTCCACCAGCTGTTCCTGGGTGGCCTGAACTCCAGCGGGTCTCATCCCTGCTCTGTGCACCGAGCAAAACCCTCAAGCAGGTCCCGCTGGCTGCCTTGCTATTTCTTCTGGGCCTGCTGAGAAAGTCTCAGGGAGTTGGGGAAAGTCTAGGAAAAATCTCCCTGCTTCTGGGGGGGGCAGCGGGGGATGAGAAACAGGGAGACTCACTAGTTCTTCTTAGACCGCTTCAGAGGCTCCTGGCAGCGTGCAGAAGATTTGTGCAAACACTTCCTCTCTGGAAGAAGAGGAATGCAGGACGCAGCCGCCTGTGGCCCATCTCAGAGCGTTGGAGGGCTATGCCTGCACTTGTGAAAGTGCCCAGGGGGATGAGGTCCCATTTGTGCCAGCCAGAGCCCAGGGCAGGCAGCAAGAGACCCTGGCCCAGGGTCTGGGCGCTGTGTATGGACATCCCTGCTTCTCGGGGGGCCGGCCCTCTCTGCTCCCATAGGACACGCTTGCTCTGGGGCCCGGGCAGGCCCTTCTTCGCTCTGGTGCTGCTGGCTTCCATCAAGCAAGTAAGAGAAATTATTTATTCTTTATTCTTATCATTAATGTTGTCAGTTACTTTCTGATTATACAAACAATTTCAGCTCCTGGTAAGCAATTTGGAAAACAGAAAATGGTATTAGGGAAATAATGATCGACCACAGCCCTAATGTCCAGGGGCAATCACTGTTAATATTTGGCATAATTTGCTTAGATCCTTTTTCTGTGCATTTTTTTTCCCACACAGCTGAAATGATGAAGCGTAAACTGTTTTGTATCCTGGTTTTCCCTTTATATCATATTGTAAGCATTTTCCTATGTCTGTGTAAACTCTGAACAGCATTTTAATTGCTACCTGTATCTTCTTCTATGCCTTTAGCATTCTGTCAAGCCAAAGGAATTATTTTCTGCACTTTCGTTCTCTTGGTTTCCCTCCGTTTCTCCCATCCTTCCTTCCTTCCTTCCTTCCTTCATTTCTTCCTTCCTCTCTTCCTCCCTCCCTTCCTCTGTCCCTCCCTCCTTTTATTTCTACTTATTATAAAAATACTCAATGCTCAATATTTTAAAGGACCTATAAAATCTAAGGAAGTATAAACTACCAATTGTGGTGAACAGAGATCACCCTTGTTCACATTTGGGGACTTATTTTTCTACACTTTCTTCTACCATTCATTTATATAAAATTTAAAGCAATAAACATAGGCTCACAATGTAAATATGAGTTGGTAGTATAAAATTTAGTTTGTACTTTTGAGTAACGAAACACACCAATAACATGAACACACTAACACCTGCCTGGAACTCGTGCTGTCAGCAACCCTGTCTTGCTGACCCCGTTTTACAGACGAGGAAAGTGAGTCGAGGGAGGTCAAGCGACACTTTACTGTGTTGATAAATGCCAAGGCTACGGAGTGAGCGTTCGGGCCTTTCAGGATGTATTATAATACAGTTAGTGCCTCTACAATTGGGCTTCCTGGTAATTGTCTCTTTCTTGTCCAAGAAGATTAGATCTTCAGCTTTTTCCTTTTTAAGGCCCCATTCTTATAGGTGGCTATGATGATAAGGAACCACAGCTCCGCTTGTTTGATTAAGAATGTACCCACAGGAGTGGCTGTCTGCCGCTTTGTTCCTTGGGCAGGACTAGTCCCTGTTGGCAGCCTTGGAATTTGAAATCTTCTCTGCCTCACAGAGTGAGGACTGTGGTGCCAGATCTCATAAATGTGCCTTGATCAGGCTTCTTTGATGCTAGCTCAGAACAAGAGGGGCAGAAGACTGCTAATGAATTCTCTGCATCCATATTCTCCCACATGTTGCCTTCAAGCCCTTGTGGCAACCCATGACTTCATGGAATTCTTGCCATGGTGACATCCTCATGCTATGTGACCTGAACATCCATGAGGGGCAGTGGCCCTGGTCTGCCTCTGGGCACCGGTCTGCCATCGTTAGTGGTGAAGTTGATTCTGGAAGAGTTGATACAAAACTCTTGCTCTGGCTCCCATTCTCTGAAAATCTCCTATAAGCACATGAATATGTGTCCAGTGAACTGACTGGTTTTCTCACCTTCCATCTCCAAGCCTGTCTGGATTACTTGCCACATGCCAAGGACTGCCACAGCGCTCAAGGAATCCAATGGATCCTCCCACATGATTGGCTCAGTGCTCACAGCAAGCTTCTGAGAACAGTATTATCGCCAAACCCATTTTGTAGATGGAGAAATGTGCTTCAGACTGTCTTTCATTATATAGCTCGCGATCGGGGGAGCCGTTTTGTCTCCTTGGAGGGTGAAGTCCTGCGTTTTGTCTTCTTAGCACTCTTGGGGAACTGTTGACATGGACTATTTATACATAACATCAGCAGCATCTGCAGTGCTTCAGGCTGGCTTACAAAGCCGATGAAGCCCCACCTTGGCTCTTTTGGCGCTGGTATTTCCATAACCAGTTATACACCTGCCCCTGCCACCCAGTCTGTGTGCACAGAGCTCCTGGCACTGTCTGTCCCTCCAGTGTGTGTCTGTAACTTCGATGACCCCCACGCTTGGTTCTCCATCTTCAACCTCACATTCTTTCTCCAGATGTTTATGTTACCAGGCTTTGCGTAGACATTCATGAAGAAGTTTGCTCGTAGATGCTGTCCCTGCCTGGAGTATAAATGACTATGGCGTGTTTGCTGGCAGGAAGTCTTCATAAAATTCACTTAATGAGAAATTCTCAGGGGTAGTTTAGTTTCTAAATACAAGCAAGAAAATAGCGCTAACTCTGTACACACCCATTCAACTCATTTACGTTATTTAGCAGTGGCTTTGGCAAACCAAAAACATAAACTTTTGAAGGCTCTTGGAGAAGTGGATGTTATACATTCCCAGTGGGAGTGTAAAAGGGTTATAGTTTGAAATAAGAAAAAAAAAACAGCTTTTGGTGAGGATAAACTGTATGGCAGTGCATTATCAAAAACCTTTAAAAATCTATATTCGCTATGACCCAGAAATTCCAATTCAAAGAATTTCTCCTAAGAAGATAAGAACCTAGTGTTTATCCCTTCTTTCCTTCCAATCTTTCTTCCTTCCAGATTGAACTCAGGACCTCATGTGTGCTAGGCAAAGACCCTACCATGGAAGTACACTTTCACCTCTGCTTTCAAACATTTAACTGTGAGAATTTTCAGCACAGCATCCTTTATATTGGAAAACTTGGATGTTCAATGCTGGAGGATTTAAAAACTAAATCAGATCACATTCATCCATTGAATATTATGTAGCTGTAAGAGTGTGTTTTATTAAATAGAAATATATTAAATAGAAATATACCTGAGTGAAAAATAAAAGGCTACAAAACAGTATAATTTCCCATTTGGTTAGAATAAAACAGAAAAAAAGAGCCGGGCATGGTGGCACATGCCTGTAATCCCAGCACTCGGGAGACTGAGGCAGGAGGATTGCTTCAAGTTAGAGACCAGCCTGGGCTACAGAGTTGAGTTCCAGAGCAGTCTGAACTACATAGTGAGACCCTATCTAAAAACAAAACAAAACAAAAACAAAAACAAAAAAAGAATAAAACAACAAAAAAGTAAAATGAGTGCGTGTGTGTGTGTGTGTGTGTGTGTGTGCGTGTGTGTGTGTGCACTCACTGCACACATGCGCAGAGAAGCATTGGGAAGTAGATGGTAATTTCTGAGTAACAAGGTTATGATCCCACTTTGTCCCCCTTATGGTATCTGATTTCTCTTTTACCTACAGTAAAGCATATTCTTTCCCTACCAAAGAAAGATTTATTTAAAGAGTCAACAGGATCTTCTCCCTTGTTCTTAGTCCCTTCTCAGCCAAGTTAGTTGTGGATATTGGTTGCAAAGAAAAGATGAATCAAGGCCAGGCTAAAGTTTTCCATTTAGAAAAAAGCTCCACCCACAGATCTTTCCTCCTTACTTTTGGAATTTTGCTGGAACTTGGATGCTCCTTCAAGTACCTAGGAAGACAGACTGAGCTTGTCCAGCTCTCCTAAGCTGACCAAATTCAGTAGATTTTAGCTTAGCTTCTTTTTCTGCTTTTTGACCATAGCCATAAATTATGGCATAGAGCAAGGGTTTAGGGAAATGATGGTTCTGGACTGATTTTATTGTCTCTTCTTTGGGTGGGTCCAGTGAGGTCCCTGAGGACGTAATTAGCACTTTGTGCAAGAAAGAGGCATACTTTGATAACTTTGGAAGATTTTGGAAACTTATTGTTTGGTTTTTAAACTATATGCTGATTTTGTAATAATATGAGTCAGGTACTGTCCCATTAGGATGTTTATTTCTTTAAACAATATGGTAATAAACTTGCTTGTTGCCTCTTGAGCCATAACTCAGAGAAGGATTATTAGCAGAGATTTAAAGCACATTGCAAATTTAAACTAAGGGATAAATGCCAATTGTTATAGCATCACCGTTACCCCTTATTGGCTCTTCTCTATTTCCCAAACTGCATGCTAAGATGAGGGACCACTTTGAATTCACAGGGGTATTTTTCACTAGATATTTTAATTGAGGAAACACAGGGATACTTAACATTTGCCAGACACCGTACAAAGTGCTAGCTCACAAGTAGTCATGGTTTAATATTAGGTTGTACTTCATTCTTTTTGATGATGTGGCATCTGAAAAAACTGAGTTTTCTGTAGGTGCTGTGATTAAAAAAACAAGTACTCACCAAAACAAAAACCAGTGTGGAGCAGGAAATGGTGGTGGTTTCCAATTTGATTCTAAAGTTTGAGAAGTTGTGCAATACCCAACAGGCACTCAGTTGTTAAGACATAAATATTTATTAGCTGTTTGGACCCATCCTTCTTAATAAATAGAACTGTAGATATGTCTATTGACTTAGAAGAATTTTGGAAAAATTACTGTAACAGTAAGGGTCTCATGAGCTGATAGATGTAGGGAAACAGTGATGACCACATGAGCTCGTCTTCAAAAAATTGATTGTATGAGCCACCCCCAGACTCCATTGGGACTGCCACAGTGCTGGAAGGGCAGCTGTGCTAGGCAGAGGAGGGAGAGAGTGGGTCTGACTAATTGTGAGCCAAAAGCAGGTCACCTCTTGGACTCATAGATGGGGTATATTTTTGCAGTGGGGACTGTGTGTGTGTGTGTGTGTGTGTGTGTGTCTATGTAATTAAATTTGGATACATTTAGGTAGACCGTGTCTGATAGGGTTACAATAAATTATTCTACTATTTATGGTTACATCTGCCTTACCGTATTCTTTTGGGTCATCTACCTGGCCCAAGAAGCATTTGAATTGTGAGAGGAGACAAAACTGAAAGCCAAGGACAGGGCCAAATAGGCAAGGAACAGTAGGGACATGGGGTAGAATGGTCTTGGACCTTGTATCCTAGCTGATTGTCTAATTGCTTTATCTTTAGTAACCTCTATATGCTTTTTAGGACAGGAGACACATTCTTCTTTGTATTTCTGTAATTCCTCCTCAACACAAGGCCCACTACGAAATGGGCCCACCAAAAAAATTAGTCAACTGAACAGTGGAAGGAAAAGACCCTGTTTAAAAGCAAAAGAAGTGGCGCAGATATTCAATGAGAAATTGTTAGGCAACTCAATTACCCAAACAACCCCAAAAGTGTGGGCTGTTTTTCCAAGGTTCCTTGGGATGGAAAAGTCAATGCCACGAAAAAGAAAAGCACAGGGCTTCAGTATGGCAGCAAAGAGTCTGTGAACTCTGTGGCTTTGACTATGGGCACACAGGCAATCAGAGAGTGTGGGCCTTGCTCAGCCGGGTTAGCGAACCCCACTTAGAGCCATGCTTCTCTCTTTGGGGTCTGCATAGTCTTAGAAATGTGCAACCACTGGTGTGGAAGGTGGGCAGATTTGAGGTGAATGTGTTGCATCCTCTTGCAGTGTCAACCTCACATAAAGATTTTGAAGAAAATTTTCATATTTGTGTCAAAACCAAGTGAGTGAATTATGGAGCAAATGTGAAATGTGTGTGCATTTTTATAATAGCATGTGGGATGTCGAAGCAATCGTTTCTCAGTGCGGCCCATTGAGAATGGTCCCATGGGAAGTGGTTTGAGGATCACGGTGTGAGATAACAAGGCAACATCTGGGCTTGTAGCTCACTGGAGGTGACTATGCTTTTGTCTGCTCAGGTTACAGGATCTCTGCTTGAGGAGACAACTCGGAAGTGGGCTCAGTACAAGGAGAAGTGTCTGCGAGATTTACTCAAGGAACCTTCTGGTAAATACATGTAGTAGTTACTGATGGCTGTTTAACAAGTTGCCCCAAAGTTAGTGACTTAAAACAATGAAGTTACCTGAAAGCTTATGCACAGCCATGTCTTTTGGTCGATATCACCTTGAAGCTGAGAGTCAAGCAGCGACTGGTGGCCAGAACATTTCTACATGGCCGCTCAAGTGGAGTGGGCTTCCTCGCAGCATGGTGGCTGGTTTCTGCAGGGAGGGCTAGCCTCACCCGAGGCCAGGCTGCCTCTTAGGACCTGGCCCAAGAAGTTACACGACATCATTTCTGCCGTGTTCTATTGGTGAGAGTTACACGGGTCTACCTAGGTTCATGGGAAGAAAAGACAGACCCCCACCTCCACTTCTCACTATAAAATAATGTAAGATGAGACATATGTGGGTGTAGCCTTCTTTGATAAGAGCCACCTCCCGCAGCATACTCACTGCCTGTGAGTCATCTCACCTGTGGAACTATTTTAAAGTGACTAGGAAGCTATTAGGTGAATTTTAGGGGGAAGTGCTCCCCATTTCCCAGGGTCTTAGTTGTATCTAAGGAATAATATTTCTCTTTTTCAAGTTTCCACAAGGTTTAGACTTTAGTGCATTCTAGCAAATCTGTATTAGTTTGCTCAGTCTGCAGCCTCACCTGTCTGTATGCTAGCACTGGGTGAATCCATATGTAACTTTAAGAAGAAGAAAAGAAATCTGTGTGTGGTGGTGCATGTATTCAGGAGGCTGAGGCAGGGGGATCTTTGTGAGTTCAAGGCCAGCCTGAACTACAAAACAAGGCCTTGTCTCACACACAAAAACAAAGAGAGACAGAGAAGAAGCAAGTGCCTCTGCCTTGTCTCTGAGCGCTGATGACTGTGGATGAAGGCCGTGTCACTCCTTGGGCTCCTGGGTCATTTCAGATCATCTGAGAAGCCTGGAGCCTTCAGAGAATATCATTTCTCCTTTCCTTTCTTGGCCCAAGACAGGGCCTTCCAAGCTCCTTCTAAAAACCCTTTTGGCCCAGACAGATGGCAATCAAGTCCTGATAGTGGCTACAAGAGCCCATCTCATTTCAGAGAGTACTACTTCTACGGGCAAAGTAGGGCGGTTTGTCTTTACCTGTGGCCGTCCTGTGAGTGGCACGCCATGGGAGCACCACCTCACACAGACCAGGTGCTAACACTGGCATCCGGGTGGACAAAGGGCACAAGCCAGCTCGTGACCTGGCACATCTACAGTGCAGTAACCTGGCTGCTCCACTTGAGAAGCCCCAGACTTTTAGCTTAATAGGAAAAGGCTGAGGGTGGAGGGAATAGAGAGGATGATGCTTGGTTTATAGTAATCTGGGAGCTTGCAATATGGAAGTTTGAGACACAGATTAAAATGCCTCCATTTCACTTTGTGAGGCCTGCCAAGGGGAGTTCTAAGTTTATAGCTTCCAATTCCCCAACACTGAGCTATAAACCATCCCTTAGCTATGATGGTACAAATTCTCCTAATCATCACTGCATTCGTAGTGGAATGGAGAGGCACGACTACATAGACCTTGTGTTGTACACATGTGACTAAGAACCTGGACTCCACACTTCCCCTTCTATCCACTGGCCATTGTGCACATTTTAGGGTTGTTGTGTTCTGGGACTAACTAGTAAAGGTTTGGCAATTATTTGATTAATTATGCAACATAAGAATGTGCTGGTGGGGCCTACTCATGTTCTCCTACCCTGAGTTTTGGTGAGAGTTCAGCTCATGTAAAATAAACAAAATCAGCATGATGTGTACATTGCATTAACCGACTGAACATCAAGTTGGATAAACAAAGGCACAGTATTTTGGGCTGCACTGAACATTCCTGTGCTTCAAAATCATTCTTCATTCTTGGCCATCTAGAGAGAGGCAGGTACATGCAAGTCTCTGCAGAGGTTACACAAACCTTCAATGGCGGAAGGTGTGGTCTGGGCTCCTGTTCCCCCTGATTCTATTAGCAGACCCCCTCTTGTACAGTAATGGTCACTCTGGCCCCTCTTCCCTCCACAGGTATATTTTGTAATGGAACGTTTGATCGGTATGTGTGCTGGCCTCACTCTTCTCCTGGAAATGTCTCTGTTCCCTGCCCTTCATACTTGCCTTGGTGGAATGAAGGTAATGAGTTTTATTTTACCAACTTCTGAAAGTTTCTTTCCAAAGCCCCTTCCTCCTGGGTAAAGCAGCCTTGAGCTATTTAGAGAAAGGTCTCCATCCAAGTATATTTCCCAAGTCCTCTTGGCCACCGCGGTCTCCATCTAGGCATTCAATAGTCTCTTGTCGCCTGTAATGTTTATATTCCGTGTATTCCATTTATACAGTAGCTCTTTTTTACCTGGAAGACTGTAAAGTATAAGCTTGAGTGTCATGGAATCTGGCTACGCTGAGGGTTAAGAATTGCTACATTCATAACAGAATAAAGAGGTGATGGTGTGAGACTATCAGGCAGTTTTGAATTTGGGGTTTGTTCTATTGGGGAAAAGGTCTTTGAACCTCCCCTTGTATCAGCTGTGGAAGGAGATGCCATTGAATTAGTGTTTGTAAGCCCCACAGGGGCTTAGATGAAGAGTTTAGGAACTGTACTTGCTTTAATCATGATTAAAGGAAGTGAATACTATTACTTAGAGACCTAGGATAATATTCCACCTCCACCTACCACAGAAGCCTGACCTCTTGGTCATTTTATTCTTGAAGGGGAGAGAAGCAATTCCAGGTTAGAATTCTGTTGTCTCTGACCAAAGACTATGGGAAAATATAAAGGTAGCTAAACCCCTTCTCAAGAAACATAAGCAGATATGAAGCTCCAGGTCAAACAAGGTGGGGAGGAGTTTCTGAAAAGGTAAAATGATAGCATCTTAAAATCTTATATTTAATCTCAACCCAAAAATATTTCATATCTATGAAGAGATGTGAATCTATGAATCATTTCTATAATTGGGGATGACAGAGAGAGGGGGAGAGAAAAAAGAGGAAGGAGGAGGAGAAGGAAGAGGAAGAAGAGGAGAAGAAGGAGGAAGAGAAGAGACATTTCTGTGTGGGAGAGTTAGTGACATATTTTGTGGGACTGTCTTCCAATGAAACCCAGCTTGAATGAACCAGAAGGTGTGAGTTGTGAGGTTCCATAGACGAGAAGAGAGAAGGTACTAGAGAACTTGGTGGATCAGAGGGGTCTAAATGACTCAAACAAACAGCCCCTGTATGAGCCAGCTTGCAGAAGTGGAAAGAGCGCTAGGCATGGGAGTCAGTGCCTGTAGTTTACACTTTGAAACTTGGAGCATATTCTGGGGCTTCCTAAGCTGTGTTTACCTTTTATGTAAGGTGAAATGAATAATAGCTAAGGGTCAAGTTTATTTTGAGGAACAAATGAGAAGGAACATAGAGATTCTACCACTTTGTGGGTATTTTGTCAGTGTGTGCTGAAGCTGAGTTCAAGATTGAGACCTGTGGATTCCTTCAGGTCATTGAGGCCCCACATGTCCACAGATTCCTCAATGGAACATGGAATAGGCTCCCAGCTCCCAGCTTCAACTTCTACTGTTTCTGCCCAGGAGCTAAAAGTACAGGTCTATTCCATATAGGAGAAAAAAGTGGTCCAAAGTCTAAGTGTACGACAAAGTACAGTTAAAGGCTTTCTTTAAAAATGAATTCTGGGCTTCTGAATTGTACTAAAAGGAATGTGATATGCTAAAGGTGGGAAGTAACCTTCCCACTCACTATTTTTTGTATTAAAAATGCAGAATAATGATTTGAGATAACAGTCAAAAGAACGAACATCGAACATTCTTTGAGAAGGCAGAGAGTCAGATGATGTTTGTGTGCTTCATTGGCATCCATGCCTGGCCACCAAGGTGGGGACCGACCGGGAAGGAAGCTGTGTGTTACACTCAGGGTCCCGCTGCAGTGGAAAGTGACACAGAGCCAGGCAGGTGCGAGGGCATGAGACGCACATAAATGCTTTGAAGTTCGGGAGGGCCGTATTGACAGCATGCAGCCTGCAGAAAAGGAGGGGATTCAGGAAGGTACGTTCCTGTCTAGAAAAAGAGATGACAAGGGTTTGCATTCAGGCAGAGGTGAGAGGTTGGAGAGAAAGGGAAAAAAGATTAAAGAAAAACATGGGAGGCAGGATGGTCAGGACTTGTCATCAGAAGGAGTAGAAACTGAAGGACAGAGGGAAGTGGGAAATGGAGAAGAGGGAACAAACTCTCCTCGTCTGTTCTCCAACTCGGGAACAGTCAGGCAAACCACCTGTCCCACTAGGACTCACCCCTCATCCACTTGGTAGCTGGGTCCTCTGGCTCCCCTCTCTTTCTTGTCCCCTGCTGATACTCTGGTGGGAGCTCACCTGCACCCTTTGTGCTGCTTCCTTGTCTCATCGTTGTCCCCAGCCTCAGATCTGGTACTTTCTAACCACCCTCTGCGAAGCTTTCTAAAATGCCAATCGGATTGTGTTGGTCCCCATCGCAATGCTTACGAATGGCATGTGTGACCTTCTGTCCCTGGCCTTGCTAACCAGTCTAGCACTCTCTCCTTTCTCTCCTTTATTTCCACCCCAGCCGAATGAACAACTCCAACTGCCCAGCCATTGCCACGAAGTTCTTGTGCTCACTCTTTTGTCCAGGCTGCCTCCCACACTTTTTTGGCCTATAAACTTCAATTCTCACTTCAAACCTTTTGTCCTTCTAGAATATTTCTTCAGCTCATCCCCATAACCCAATGAACCTCTGCCTTTCCGAGGCCTCTTCCATGCCTGTATGTCTCTGTCTTGGCATTTAAAGCAGTTTATGGCCTTTTTATTTGCACTCTTCTGGCTAGAATTCAAGTTGTACCTTTTCCTCTTAGCATCCTCAGCACGAAGCATTTGTATTGGCACAGAGGCAACAAGGGTCAATGACATTACTGCCATTCATTCATTCAATAATTTTTTAAGACAGGGTCTCTCTATGTAGTTCAGGCTGGCCTTGAACTCAGGACATAGGCCAGCTTGGCTTTAAAAGCACAGCAATCTTTCTGCCTCAGCCTCCTGAGTGCTGGAATTACAGGTGAGTGCCGCCAAACAGGGCCTACAATAAATATTTTTCAAACACCTACAGCGTGCCAAGTATTATTTTTCAGTACTTGGATTGTATTAGTGACTAAAACAGAATGATTTCCTCTCTTGTGGGATGCATATTCTAGCAAGAGAGCAACAATAATTAATAGCTATCATACATAAGTATAGATGTGGTATATTTTTAAACAAGATGGAGCAGTAGGAAGGGATAGGAGGATTGAGGTTTGGGGGAGTGAGTTGAAATCATAAATTGGGTAGTTGGGGAAGACTTCCATGACTAGGTGGTGTTTTACTGAAGGCTTAAGGGAGATAAAGGTTTTAGCCTATGGGGAAGGACAGAACATGTATCAGTGCAGAGGCCCTAAGAGGGGAGCACACCTGGTCTGTTCCAAAGAAAGAAGGAGGTGAACATTGCTGGAGTGAAGAGGAAGAGAAGCAAAGGATGGTTATGCAGAGAATTTAGGGCCAGATCTTACGTGGCTTTGTGGAAGGTCATAAAAGGACACTGATTTGTTCTCATGTCTCTGGAAATTCTGAGCAGAAGCTTGGCATGGTACCACTGACACCCATTCCAGCCCATCAGCTGCTGGGCTACCCACAGATGAGAGGGGAAGACCAGCGGGAGAGTTTGCAATAGTCCAGTGGAGAGAGGTTGGTTCCAAGGTGGAGAGACGCAGGAGGTGAAGCGCAGTGGTCAGATTCTGGGTATATTTGGAAGCGGAGATGATCAGCTAATAGAGCAGGTGAGGGATGCAGAGACAGAGAGAAGGCAAGGGTGACTCTGAGGCAGTGGTGGTGAACCTACAGCAAGTGTGTTATTTGTTTTTCTTTTGAGACAAAGACTGCTAATGTATGAGTTGTTTTTTCTGCACTAAATCCTCAATATTTGGATTTAAGTGCAGTGTTGGCAGAGTGGGTTCCCACCCATGGAGACAGGAAACCATGTAGGTAGAGCAGATTTTGAAAAGAAAATGGTGAGTTCGGTTTGATGCATAGCATTTGAGATGTCAGTTAGGAACCCTAGTGAAGCTGTTCACTTGATAGGCAGGTGAATGCATTATGGAAATACCCATCGATGAACTGAGCATATAGCTGCTGTTTTTCTATGATGTGTAGGATCTGGACTAGGAAATTCCAGCGACTTTCTGTTTCTTATTTGCAAAACCAGACCCTGGTTCTCCAGGGAGGAAGACATTCAGGGAGGGGCTCCTGGGCAGATGTGCCTGAGTCCCAGCAGCACTCGGCCCAGCAAGGTGACTCACCCAGCATCTGCACACCCACTCTCCTATCCAATCTCTCTCAAATCACGGAGGGTGGCACAATTACCGCCCCAAAGCCAGGGGCTCAGAAACTGGCAGGCTCAGAGACGGGGAGCCTGGACCCAGGATACCAACTCACTGGTAGTTGGCATATGAAGCTTCTGCCCGGGGTTAATCTACTCTGTGCTCATTGCCTTCTCGGTGGCTGGTGTGGCTTTTTGGGCATGAGGAAGAGATGTCCCATTCTGAGTAGGCATCAGAGTCCAGGTTGGTCTCTATCTGGGCTGTGCCCTACTTGAGTTATAACATTCTTAGTCACCAGGGGCTGTTCTAACTCCGAGACGAGGTAAACACGGCAGACATTGGTGGATCTTGGTTTGTTATGAAATCTAGAGGCTTCTGTGTTTTCCTTTCCATCCCAAATAAACAGCTGGGATGCTAATGAGCCCTCACAGGGGGAAATCAAAATCTCTTTTCCATGGGATTTTCCACAGCTCTACATCCAGGGCAAGGGCTTTCCAGCATGCTGGGGGAACAGGCTGTATGTTCTGACCTTTCCTCTAGAGCTTTGTTTACTTTCAGAGAGCTCAGGAAGGGCCTACAGACACTGCCTGGCTCGGGGGACTTGGCAGATACTAGAGAACACCACAGATATTTGGCAGGATGACTCCGAATGCGCCGAGAACCACAGCTTCAAACAAAACGTGAGTCTGCCTGGTGATAAGGTGTCCAGGGCCAAGGCCACCCTCCTCCAGGGCAGCCAGGAGGCCAGCTAGCTTTAGGGGTCTTACGAAGAGATGCTTTCCAGCACATGTGCCCCAAGCTCAGCTAAGGAAGTCCACGGTCATGCACAGCAGCAATAGGTGCCCCAGGCTCCTCTGTGGCCAACTCTTTCTCATTATTCGAATTCAACTCAAATGTCTCCTCAAGGAGAGATCTCCACGGCAACTCCATCCATAATGGCCCCCAGAGTCACTTTCTACAACAGCCCTGATGTAGTTCCTTTATGACACCTGTTACTCCTTGAAACTCTCAGGCGATTTCTTATTTGTTATCTAGTCCTCTCACCAGAATGTAGATCCAGTGGTCATGAGGGGCCTGCATGCCTCAAAGAGGGCAGCACAACACAGAGAGTGGGGTCAAGAAGGCCACTTATTCAGACCATGTATTCAAATTCTTCACTTCTTGGCTAAGAACTTGGCACAAATTTCTTCACTTTTCGGCGCCTCTGCTTCCTCATCCATCCCAAAGGGATTTTATTTGTTGCATGTGATCATTGTGAGCATTTAGAGAGTCAACAGACATAAATTTATTAGAAGAAAATTTGACATGTAGTCAGCCAGCTCTGAGTAGGAGTTACTGCCCCCTCGTCAGGATCCAGCATTAGTCAGGGCTCAGCAAATCATTCTGGCAGCTGGGATGAGCAACAGATCCATGCTTCAGACTTCTCTCCATGTGTTTTCAGTCCAGGATCCTATCTTGCAGTCCCCTCAGGCCCAGGTCTTCCCTACTTGTTTGCTGGGCTCCTGTTCTTCTTCCTACTCATGAAAATCCTACCCACTCTCTCTCTCAAAGGCAGAAGAGGAGGTGTCTGGGAACCAGATGTCTAGGGCCACACCTTGTTTTCAAACATTCAGGCCACAAATATTAATGAAGCACCTGCTATGTGCAAAGGTTTTTCGCTAGGCACTGAGAACAGTGACTGAGATGTGGATACCAACCTTAGGAAGCTTAGAGTCTCATAGACCATCGAGAGAAAAATAGCTGATGGGACAGAAGTATAGGATGCTCAGGGTCACAGAAGAGGGGGACACTGATGCTGACGGGGGGCAGAGAAGGCTGACCAAGCTGAACTCTGAAGGGTGAGAAAGAGATGGTCTTGGGAAGAATGAGAGCAAGGCCTCTTGGCGGAAGGAAAAATACACACCCAGGTGCAAAGAATGAGAGGGTATCCATTACTAGGGTGAGATGCCAAACCCTAAGGGAAGTCAGTCTCCAGGTTGGTCTTAGCTTCTGTACTTGCTGTTCTCCATGCCTGGCACATGTTTCCAAGCTCCCCTGAGGCTGGCACCTCTTCATCATTCAGGTTTCAGGTCAATGTCTCCTTCGAAGAGGCAACTTGGAGAGCTGCGGTGCAGATGAGGTAGAATTCAGGAGGATACAGGTGGAGGTAGAGACCTCAGGAGAGGTGAGATGAGGAAGGACTCCTGCGTCTTTGAAGGATTCAGACTTTGCAAGTGGGGAAGGAACATAACTCAATGTAGGTGTCGAGAGGATTCTCTGGCAAGTTGGAGGAGGCTGGGGCTGCCAGGCTGGAGGCAGGAGGCAGAGTAGCCAGGCAGAATCCATCTCTGTAAACTCAGCCCAGATGTGAGGAGAACACCAGTGGAATGGAAAGAAGGAGGAGGGTTGGTTTGCAAGTTTCCAAGGATAGAGATGGTAGGACCAGGTGCTGGAGGGCCTGAGAGAGTAGAGTCGAGAGCACCAAGGTCAGGTTTCTGGACTGAACCTCTGAGGAGATTTGAAATGCACCTCACTGAGGTGGGGAATACAGGAAGAAGATTTGCCCCTTCATTTCTAGATGTTTTCCTGCATAATTCCTATCCCTACATGAGCCTGTAAAGCACCCTTCTCCCCGACACCTTTAGTTGTGGCTAACTTTATAATTGGATTTTGTTTCCTATATCATTTTATTACTCTCCCACCAACTCTACATGTGTTTTAATAGTTGAAAGTTTGGGACAGGAGAAGCCAAGGAGTTCAGTTTCAGAAACACTGTCTGTGTGATCTGAGCACCTATCTGTATCCTGGCATGCTTAGCATGGGGTTGATAAAGCTGTCTTTGTACGGCTTCTTTGTTAGTCAGCTTTCCATTACTATAATAGATATCTGAGATAAACAACTTGTAAAGATGGAAGGTTTATTTTGACTCACAGTTTCAGAAGTTTCAGTCCATGACTACTTGACTCCATTGCTTTTAGATGTGAGGCAAGGCAGTGCATTATGTTTGACCATGTAGTAAAGGAAACTGCTTACCTCATGGCAGCCAGGAAGCAAATGGTCAGAGGGCACGCTTTCATGACCTAACTTCCTCCCAATAGGCTCCACTTCTTAAAGGCACACCATTTCCCAGTAGCTCCACAGGTTGGCAACCAAGCCTTTAATGCATGGGCCTTAGTGGAACACTTCCAAACCATAGTTGTTGTCCAAATCTAGTTGTGAGGCTTGAAGGGGCAATTAATTAGGAGTGATTAATTCATGTATTGGTGCCAATTAGGTATAAAAGTTATCATTATTGCATTTCTTTTTAGAGTGTCTTCCTTGATTTTCTCTCTTCCTGGCCTCTCTCTTGTCTATGCCTAAGGCTGTGAATAATCTATTAATGTAAATTTGGAGGTCTATGACAGTGGCTTCTTTGTGCTGCCTTCTTGGCTGCTTTTTTTAATGTAATTTTTCATTTCACTTTCAAAAATCAAAAACCTGGTTTTCTGTGAAGCTATTAAGATTAACTTACAGTATTTATTGTTCTATTTATAAATCTAGCAAGTTTTAATATTTTCAAGGATGTCTTTAATTAATTTTTGTTGCCACTATGCACTAGTTATTTAAATACCATTTTACATTTTGGGCTTCATCAGCACATTTAAGATATCAGATGCTTTAAGTGTTTTAAATATCTTAAATATATGCTCTAACAAGCAAATCTTTTTTAGTTCTCATGTAATTCTAGTTCACTGAATATATTAAGATTGCATACTGAGGGGCTGGGGACTTAGCTTAGTGGTTCTGCTGCCTGCCTTGCAAGTGCAAGGTCCTGAGTTCAATCCCAAGTACCAAAAAAAGAAAAGGTCTTTCAAAAGATTACATAGTGAGACCAAAGGATTTAGCATAGAGGCACCACGCCTGCCTCAAAAACACAAGGTCCTGAGTTTGATTCTCCAGTACAAAAAAAAAGAGTTTACATATTTAGCCTTAAATTTTCTTAAATGTGTTAATATTGTTTTAAGTTCCCCTCAAAGTTTAAATCAAGTACTGTTGACATATTTCATATTAGAACCACAGTACTAATCTATTAGATCATCCACTATACCATGTTCTCTAAATAGTATACCAATTATATATAGCATGTGTAAGTAATTTAAAAATCTCCACAGAGACGATGGACTGAATAAAGTTTAATTTTAGAATCTGAGTGATGCATATGCAAGTTCTAGTTAATAATTTTTTTCAAATTTGCTGTACGTTTGAAATATTTACTATATTCTAGCTTGACACAAAACTATTGGTAAATGTAATGGTCGGTTATGCCTTGCCATGGCTAAGACAAAAAACTAAAATTTTCACACTAAGGAAGAAACTGTCTCAAGAAAACAGGGATTTCCATTGCAGGGGACATGGTTTCCTATAGACCAGAGGTTTGTTGGGTTTGGTTATCAATGCCAGTTGTGTGGCTGTGGTGGTAAATGTTTAACAACCAGCCCCCTCCTCTACTTCTGGGAAAAAAGGGGCTCTAGTTTGTAATGCTTGCCAACTCCTGTGGTGTAAATACTCCCAGTGGGCTAATTTCGAGTTGTCAATATGATGTCACTACATGCAGAGTAGGGAAGGGAGACACAGTGTTCACCATCAGATAGTGTTTTCCCCCGGTAACACAGTATTCACTGGCTGTAGACATGTAGAAAGCTAATTGGAAAATGATGAGTTTTGAGCATTTGTTATTTTTATTTTGATATAGTTTATTTCATTGTAAATTTACATAGTTTAATTTCCAATAATGTATTTTCCGACCAGCTCACTACAAATTGACCAGTGAGCACAGGCAAACTAGTACAACAACACCTGCGGGGCCATTGTGGCAGTTTTTCCACTCTTGCCAAGACATTGAGCCCAAGTCCATGCCTTTTGGAGGGTGCTGATCTTTCTCAGGTTTGAGGTACTGCACCACCTAATTAATTGTCTCACCCTAATTTAGTGGGGGGGCTTCTGTGGTTGTAACTTACTTCCTGAGAGGCTGACTGGGAGCTGACATCTTCTTAAGTCTATACTGTCTTCCCATCAGATGTGAAAGGCCTTTCCACAGATCCCCCACATCTTTTAAACCTTATTATTTGGTCTTATGGCAGAAATCTGTGCTCCTTACACAGCTTTATTATATGACAGGTCACACCTCTTAAAGGGATCCAAGTGACACCTGTAGATGGATTGGATATGGTTTATCTCAGGAACTGGCTTGACTTGTGCAGTGGCACAATGGTTATGCTAATCGCATGCCTTGAGTTAAGAAAACTTCGTTTTCTTATCTTCCTTCCTGGATTATGAACGGTTTAAGAACAATCACAAAGTGATAGTCATACTTAAACACCACCCCTAAACTCCTTGCCTAGTACTGGGACACAGTACTATTTACATAAAGTAGCCACTTAATAAATGCTGATAGAAGGTTTTACAAATTCAGAGGTGGGCTGGATTTAGCTCAGTGGTTCTGCTGCCTGCTTTGCAAGCATGAAGTCCAGAGTTTGATCCCTGGTACCAACAAAAAACAGATTAAGAGGGTTTTGGCATCAGTACGGGTGCTAAGTTCCCCAGGTGATCCTCATAAACTGCCAAGATTGAGAATCAACTGTGCAAAGGTGTGTGCCAGGCCTCGGTCCACTGAGGCACCACACTGAGCCAGTGAATAGGAACAGTAAAACAAGACCTTGAG